TGTTAAAGAATTTTTCATCGACAGCTGAACCACAATGGATATCAAAATGCCAATGCGATAAGAGACTGCAAAGCTTGCAAAGAGCTGTCTTACTCTTTGCTTGCTCCACAAAAGTTAAAGTGACAAATTACACAAGTCCCTATTCATTTTTCTTCCTTCAATAAACGGGCTATTTAGACAATATCGAAAATCATTGCCCCACGTTTTGTCCATTGTTCCTGTCGCCCCCAAAATCATGTGGGTGGTCAGTCAAAATGAATAGGATGAGTTCAATTGATTGAGTAACTGTCAACAGCATATTCTAATTTCCCCAATTACAGAGCTGGTTTCTTTTATGACAACAAGACACTTCGATCTGTTGCTATGAAGAAAGTAGAAATTAAATCATATCTGAAAATTCAGAAAAATTTAATGTGACATGATTTTGTGTTAGAATACAAATTTAAAGCGTAATTGATCAGAATCGCAACAAAATTCAGACTGACATCTGTTGCAGTTGTGGAGTGTATATATCATTTTAAGTCATTAACTTCTGTTCAATAAATGTTTTCCCAGAATTATGAAAACCATTCATAACAAATGAGAGTAAAGCATCCTTTGTAATCATGCCTGTGTGCTTCCCTTTGAAGTATTGTTGGGCTTACTTCACATTGTTGGGCTTAGTCTTTAGCATTTCTATTACATCTATTTTGCTTGATAAGTCTTTATAAATTGGTTCCTGGGTTTATTTTCTTTTATATTTACAAGCATGTGGCATATTTCTTGTGTCAGCTTATGATTACCTAAATCTATTGAAATTATGAAATGAATTTGCCTTGCTTTGAATTTGTAACACTATCCATTTGTAGTCGTGAAACATTTCAATAAGTAAGTTAGTGTTGGTTCATTCAGCAAGTAAGTACTGGCTGATCATCCTGGACAGCTTATAAGGTAAATGCAAAGCTGTATAATTAAGAATTACTGACACATTAAGCATTTAAAACGGTTTTGTTTGTTTTCGGGTGTTTCTTTTTTTTTAAAGCCAAGTTAACACATATGGTCTTATCTTGGAAGACTATCCACCAAACCAGCTTTCCTGGATAACTAACCAGTACTTTCAAATTTCTTCACAAGTGACCAACTACCAATTCCTTACAATTTTACTTATCAACCGTGAGAGACAAATGACTATAAGACTCCATGTCCAAGATCAACTGTCATGGAAAAATTACACTTCACCTGAGGATCAAACCAGTGACCCCTTGATTTAAAATCTGATGCTCTCCATATTGAGCTAAGCAGGCACACTTGATACTGAGTAGTTCTCAAGCCTTTTCTATTATTTAATATTATTTAAACCAACATATTATATTAACATACATCAAGACACAATCGGTCAAGGCAAAGTCTTGTCCATTCACCAACAATTATGTACAATTACTGTTGCCTTTCAGGTATGAATCAACTAGGAGTGCCACCAACATTGATGCTGAATTCCTGGAACAGGCTGTCATACACTTGGATACTTTCCCATGGATACAAAGGACAAACTAGTTCACCGACAATAATAATTAACCTACTCACTGACTTAATTCAATGACCAAGATTGTACACACAGTATTCATGCAAGTATGTTTGTGACCTAAAAATAAGACAAATTTAGGGTTAACAAGATCATCTGTTCAATATGCAGAAGAGTATGCAGAAGGTAAAAAAAAGAATGGCACACAATCATCAGATTTCTGATAACAAGATATTTTAAGATAAAATGAACGCATGTTAAGCTTAGTTATGACAATAGGTTCTTAAATATTTGTTACTTTGTCTGCTAGAATCATCTGCTGTAGAAACTCATGGCTGCCAACGAGCATTATTCCTAGCATTTGTTAGATTCTTGACGGATTCCGGTAATTTCTAGAACAATTGTAGATGCACCATTATCCGACATAGATACTCAATCTCTCTGTTGATTTATGACTCGTATTGCACCCGGCAAAAACTAACAAAACACCTCAGACAATTATAAAGAAAAAAGAAACCCTATGATTTATTATCGTATGTTCTGTTTCCAGAAAAATATTTGTTACAAACAAATAGAACACCAAAAATTTAACTTCCAGATTCTTTTTTGACCAATGAAAATAGAAACTACACTTATTAATAGGAGAATTAGCAAAATACGAAAAACAAGATCAACAAGGAAGGGTGGCATTCAATGAACACACCCCCCTTACATGACCCAGCACGACCTTTGTAACAAGCCTCGTAAAACAAAATTAGTACTTTTTTATTCTAGACCATGGATGGTCTTTATAGTTTATTCAAATATCAGTAATTAGTATGCAGCCAGACCCCCCCCCACCCCACTCTTTCTCAGGTTGTATGTAGGAGTGAATGCAATGATATGTATACATACAGGGAATAAAGCCAGACTCCACTCAAACTCATGCAGAAGGGGCACTGGCGTGGATTTGAACAGAGATGTGCTGGTCTAAGTTCAAGACCCACTATTCTCTTGGGCTGGAAAACCCCCCAAACAAATATTTTTTATCGCATTATTATAAAAGCCAATTTGGGAACCTAGACATGGGCTTCAAGTCACATTTGACCGTTTCCAGGGTGTCATAACCAGTAATCACACCAGAATGGAGAAATCGAGTGAGAGCCCTCGACCTCTGGATCAGGAGTTTCATGCTCTATCCCTACACTACTGTTTACAAATTATGTGCTATATTAAATGAGTATCAGTAAATTAAAGTGCAATAAAAGCAGACCTTAACAGATACTTGACAGTTTCAACTAGTTTTTCCACAGGTTCGACCTGACATTTTCAGGGAGCATAAAAAATTACTTACTTCTGCTTGTTACAGAACAAACTAGAACTATCGCTGAATGCGATTCATACCCCCACCAATGTCCTTGACAGAAGACAACTTGGAAAGGTGGTTAAGGGAATAACTTAAGTGACACAAATACATAAAAAGAAATTATCTCTGGTGAAAAAAAGACTAATTGTATAGGTAATAGTAAAAATATCTATTATCAAATCATGTTCGAAACAGTTACAAATAACCTTTCATTTTCCCAATATACTAAACTTTTTATAAGTCAATTTTTGACCTTCAAGTGTGGCCTTGACCTTCAGCTGGCACAAGGGTAAGATGGGTTCTGCACATCGCCCAATTGGAGTGAACATTTGAGTAAAGTTTGAAGAAAATCCTTCCATTAGTATAGAATTTATAGAGCGGACACAACATATTGTCTAGTATTGATTGTATGTAAATTTAAAGACTTAAAAAGGGGCATAACTTTGTCAAAATCCAATACAGAGTTATGAAACTTGACCTGCATATTGTAATTGTGACACCTCATATATCTTTTAAGTTTCAAGCAAATACCTATGCTAGTTTCCGAAATATTCAAGAACATGTTTTAATCTAAGAACATTTTCTAAGTCAATTTTTGACCTTCAAGTCTGACCTTGACTTTAGTCTGCACAAAGGTGACATAGATTCTGCACATAACCTTGTTTAGGTGAACATTTGAGAAAAGTCTGAAGAAAATTCTTCCATTAGTATAGGATTTATAGAGCTGACACAACATATTGTCTAATATGTGATTGTATGTAAATTTGAAGATTAAAAAGGGGCATAACTTTGTTAAAATGCAATACAGAGTTATGAAACTTGACCAGCATATCTTAATTGTGACACTTCATTTATATTTTAAGTTTCAAGCAAATACCTTTCCTAGATTCAGAAATATTCAGATATATGTTAAAATTAAAGAACATTTTCTAAGTCAATTTTTGACCTTCAAGTGTGACCTTGACCTGAAACCGGCAAGAGAGTGACATGGGTTCTGCACATAACCTTGTTGAGGTGAACATTTGAGCCAAGTTTGAAGAAAATCTTTCCATAAGTGTAGGACTTACAGAGCGGACACGACATACTGTGTAATATTTAATTGTTTGATATTTGACCTTCAACTGTGACCTTGACCTTGAGCTGACACATGAGCAACATGGGTTCTGCACATCCCATTGTTGAAATGAACATTTGAGCCAAGTTTGAAGAAAATCTTTCAATTAGTGTAGGACTTACAGAGCGGACATGACATATTGTGTAATATTTGATTATTTGATATTTGACCTTCAATCGTGGCTTTGACCTTAAAATGACACATGGGCAACATGGGTTCTGCACATCCCCTTGTTGAGGTGAACATTTTAGCCAAGTTTGAAGAAAATCTTTCAATTATTGTAGGACCTACAGAGCGGACACGACATACTGTCTAATATATGATTGTGTTTGATATTTGACCTTCAATTGTGACCTTGACCTTGAGCTGACACATGGGCAACATGGGTTCTGCACATCCCCTTGCTGAGGTGAACATTTTAGCCAAGTTTGAAGAAAATCTTTTTTTCAATTATTGTAGGACCTACAGAGCGGACACGACATACTGTCTAATTAATATATGATTGTGTTTGATATTTGACCTTCAATTGTGACCTTGACCTTGAGCTGACACATGGGCAACATGGGTTCTGCACATCCCCTTGCTGAGGTGAACATTTGAGCCAAGTTTGAAGAAAATCCTTCAAGTGGTATAGGAGTTATAGAGCGGACACGAAAATGGAGACGGACGGACCGACCGACCGACGCGACAAAGCGAATCCATTATAGCCCCCCCCACATTTTGTGGTGGGGGTATAATAACATTGAGGATTATATAATACACAAATATTCATACATTTCTTACATCATCAATACTAATTAGATTTAAGTCAAATATTATTTCCTAAATGATACACCAGAATTATTACTTTTGTGGAAATGAAATAAATATGGTACATGTACATAAAAGATAACAGGATTTTATTGCTATTCATTGACAGATCTTATAAAATAAACTTGAAACTAATTTGATTTAAAGGATAACAATCTTGAGTCAGTAGCAATAATATAGTAATAATTTCAGAGAATTACAAACAAATCAATCTAAAGTCATAGGCTTACCACATGGTAGTGATTTTGTTGGTACACCCCTTTGTTTTCCATTCAGACAATCTACAATGGGGTAAATTCATCTTGGATAACACTGCAGCCACAATTCAGTGTCACTACCATTACCATCACCTTTGTTCCAGTAACTTCCAGTCTTTGTTTCCGACCAGATCATATGATTTCCTATTTCTCTGACTGACAGACGAAGCAATCAATGTCAACCTGGCTCCCAATAAAAAACGAATGTGCCCTGAAAGGAATGCAGAACAGAATTACATTTTTTTTTTACCTCTCCGAACTATTTTCTTTTCTTTGCGTGTGCGTATGTATGTGTGTGTGGGGGAATGCAATTTTTGTATCAGTATATATACGTGTGTATTTCACAAACATCTGGCGTTTGCCCGATGACATATTTAACTCTGGCATGCTAAATCATATCAATTTCATACCTACAGACATTCACCCCACAGCAGAAAAAGATAATAATTTCGGATGTAACAGTGACTTTCATTGTTACATCATGAAAATTCTACTACTGAATACACAGAACATCTGCATTGCATATTGATCTTTCCTGTCCCACAATATAGGATCATGAAAATACAAGATTAAGTTGGCACCGAGACAGAAATATTGCAGACGCTTTCTGACAAAATGTCACATTCCAAGTTTTACCGGCTGCTTCTAATTACAGACAGTTTACAAGCGTCATACAAATACAACTGACACAAATTTCAAATACAGACAATTATTTTTATGATTATTATTGAAAAGCTTACTTCACTTTAAAGGAAATTTTTAAAATAAAACATCATTTCTACTACAAAACTGTAGTTTATAATTTTTTTCATCATTTGGTTTGGCACCTGATTTTAACTATATATTTGTAGACAATTTCCATGGATTTTGGCTAGAACAGACTAAGTACCTTTCTTAAAGATCCTGTATCTTGTAATTAAGGCTGTTCCCACACTATAATGAAATTATTTATATGTATATATTTAAATTATGCTTCTAATTTTTTTTTCAAACATTGCAGAATATGTAAAATAAGTACTGCAAATATTTGTCCCCATAATATGTAATCATTTAAATGCATTCATTTCTTATTGAAAAATCTTACTTAGACTTTATAAAAAATAATTTTCTAATTATTTCCCTTTATAGATATGAAATGAAAATTCGGTAATATCTTTACAAGTATTGCTTTTTGGAACTTACATTATTGATAAATCTTCATTTGAGCATTATATTCATGATATAAAACCATAAAAAAATGAGTTAAAGGATCTTCAATATTATAATCATACCATAGAACATATTTACTTTTAAAAAGTGCTATTCAAAATTACTGTCAAATATCAAGTAAGTGATACGGTTTGTATAAAATGGAGATCTTGACTTCATTTGGTATAACAACTTTGATAGAGAAATTTTCCACATGCACAAGCATAAAAATGAGTAATTTTTCAGACAAAAAGAAAAAAAATAAATATCTTCAACCCAGGCAATTGACCTTGAAACCTAATTAATTGACTTGCAGTAGAAGTTTTTCCATCTTGATGCTAATAGTAGTTGATTACATCATTGATGTTCTCTCAGCATAAAGGAGCAATGTCACTTGTCAGGTCAAATCAATGGCAAAAAAAGTACCAGACAAAATTGATCTGTTTTCTTCATGGAAATTAACTTCATCCTTTGTTCCAGGAATAGTTTCAAGAAAAGTAGACTGTCAGTAAATTGATCTTTATAATGTCTGACTTTCTTAGCTACCAGTCATCTTCATTGTTAATTTTCAGGTTTTAAGGCCTTTACTATCAATATCAAATTCTCCATTTTCAAAGATAAATGCATCCTTACCTCAAATCACCTTTCATGATTTTTGCTGAATCATGTTTTGAAGAGATCTTACATAACAAGATCCATTATTTAAGAGTTAATTAAGAATAGACAGTCAGCTAAACATTTATCCTGAACTTTCAACTCAAGTTTCACTTTTTTTTCTCAAATTCAAGCTTCTGAAATTCTTTGATAGAAAGTTTCCAAACTATGATCATTTTGCTGTTTTCTTTTTGAGACAAAAAAGAAGAAGAAATTAAGATTTTTTTTCTGAACAAGTTCTCTACTAAATGTTTCTAAGGTGTTTTTGTTATGTCATTGGTGTGCTGTGCATTACCAACAAGAGCTTTTAATAAAATGATCTAGAATTTAAAATATGTTGCCATTTATTAAGTAAGACATTTTAATCTGTACAGGACAAAATAACCTAAACAACTTAACACCAAGGACTGGAGCTCTCCTGACTGATTGCAAATGAGGTTTTCAATTTTGGGAAAGGGTCCTGGACCCCCCACCCCCATTTGATGCCAAGTTGGAATTTTAAAACAAACATACCATATTTTCATATTTGTTGTTTTATTTATATTTATTTAGTTTAACATTAAGTTAGTTGTAGTTTAGAGATCAGTACCTCTTATTTTGAATAAACATACATTTTGGGAGTTCCAACGTCTGAAATTGAGTAAAAGTATTTTAATCTTTTATTTGGAAGTGTCTGTTAGATGGACACCCCCCACTACCCCCAAACAGAAGGGAATAAATGCATAAATCAAACAAGACAAACAATTTAACTGTCTTGTTTTGTCATTCACAGGAAAATATAGTAATATATATTTTCCCATTAATATCAAAACAGTTCTTCAAAACTTCAAAAACACTTGCATAATACAATGCACCTTCCCTTATAAAGTGAAATCTAATTAATATTCAACTTGTACACACATAGACAACAATTAATGTCAAATTTAAAGAGGCAATATTACGTAAATTACAGACGTTAATGTGAATTTAGTTATCAATTACATTTGTAAAATACAACTTCTGCTTCTAATCAAACTACCTATCAATACATACAACTGTCAATGAAATCATTGGACAGTGAATCCTTGATGGCTCACTATGATTTAGACCTACTTTTATTCTATTTCATTTTTTTTTGGCGTGGGATGGGTTATTTTAAGACAAATTAAGACACTTTAAAATGTCATTATGCCGACTTACTACTTATAGCTTGAGGACGAGGACCACAGATGCTCCTCTGTGAATAACGTTTTTCTAGACTTTTTTTGTGTTTTTTTTGTTGTGTTTTACATCACACCAACACTGGAGAGGTCAAATGGCCAATTTGAACTGTAACTGGCAGATGAATACCTTACATTTTCCCATGTACATTATTTCAGGCACAATAGGTACCTGTGAAGAACCACCAACGTCCAGTAACCTAGCTGTATAGTTTCTTCCCATGAAAGAATCCAAAGGTCCATAGCGGGATTTGAACCCACATTGGTGAGAGCCCAGAAATCAACAACCTTAACCACTCAGCCATGGATCCCCCCTGTCCAATATTTCAGGCTTGGAGATTCAACCTTCCATAAGTACACTTGATAGAAAGCTTCCTCACTTAGCAGGATATTGCACCCAGTATGATAAGCCTCATAGTTTCATTGAAATCCCATTAAAAACTACCAAGTGGTTGAGATGATTACAGTTTATTTCCATTCACAGCTCTGGCAGCCATTCTGCTTCACCTTATGATCATTCCTGTAAAGTTTCATCAAAATCTACCCAATGGTTGGGATCTTGTTTATAGTTTTTTTCTAATTTTAACTCTAACAGTCATCTTGATCAGCAGTCTGGAAATATTACAGCAACATTTTACAGGCAACCATCCAAGAATCATTCCTATACAGTTTCATCTAAATCAGCCAAAGGGGTAAAGGAGAAACTGTTGTTTAAGTAAAATATTAATGATGGATGACTGATGGAAGATGGGTGCAGGGTAATCCCAATAGCTCACCTTGAGCTTGTTGTGCTCAGGTGAGCTAAAAATGAGCTAAAAATGAACACATGAAATTTTACTTACAAAAACAAAATACTAGAGCCAGCTGGGAGATATGACAATAAGGGAAACAGTACTCGGGAATTGGCAGATAAATTACAGCATACATTGTACAAGTTAACCACAGATAGCAGCACCTTACATTGTCAAATGATACAGTGATTAGTTCCCAGGTGTGTTGCATTTTCATCAAAGTCTACACTCATAGATCTGGCAAAACGAAAAACATGTGAGTAATTGCTGCAAGTTTTTATGTAACAAGGTAACTGATGTGAACAAAACAAAGTTTTGTAAATATTTCTTATTTATAGCCATCTGCCAGCAAAACATCTTGACAATCTACAAATCAGCAGAGAAGAATATAAGCAAATTGTATAAAAAAAAAATTATTTGTTTTATATAATATTATTTCGAAATAGCTTAGAAATGGGAAATCTTGGTTGACTATATACATCGCATTGTTTGGACAATAATGTTTTTTCCACTGGTACCCTTTTGGTGAAAGTTACAATTAATTTATAACAGGTCATAGCCCATGTATGCAGATATATTACCTTGAATAGAAAAATCAAGTTGCATAACTCTATTATAGCTCTAGACACAGCACCATGAACTATTATCTATGTGGGGACAATGTTGATCTCAGGATGCCCAAACCTGTGTTCAGCACATGACAGACGATCAGGTCCAAAACAATCTACACTAAATCAAAAATAATTTCCAACACTAAATTGCTTAGTGTTTATTAGTAAGCATTTTAAAAAGTAAATTGGCCAAGCGGCTGTAATGCCTAACATACAACTTGTCACTCAATGATCAAACATTTTTACATGTTTCTATATAATCAGACAAGTCTATTTTATAACATGCCACTTACTTAAACAGGATTTTCATATTTTCATTCAATTTCTGCTAAAATCATCTGAAAATTTATACAAACAAACTTCTTATAATCAAACTGGATGTCTATGGACTGAAGATTTTAATGGTGTGTAAATATGTCACCAATCAGGAACTACTTTCACCTCCAATGCTGAAGACTCTCACTGGGTGATGGGAATAAACTGTTAGTTATGATTTTGAAGTGCCCACGCTCAGAGATTTTAAATCTAAATATTTAAACAGGATGTTTAAGATTATTTAAAGAGAGATTTACACTCCCTGTTTTCTTGGTAACAAATACCTGAAAATAAACCCTATTAAAGTAACGGCCAGACTAGCTACTTGTTACATCTATGACAGTCCTATCTTTAAACTACCTTGTAAGATGAAACCATAACAACTAGGTTACATCTACATTATTTCATTCAATGTTCTGAAAAATACCAAAAATACACTTTTACGAGGACGCG